CATGGGAGAGCGTTGCCGGTCCAAAAGCATAAGAGCGGAGCGGGCTTGGAGAAAAGTGGGCAGCGGATCCTGAAATTGAAGAAAAGACGTCTGGGCTTGCAAATCTGCGGGGAGACCACGAAGCATCTGAAGAACCAATTGATGTTGGGACACCGGGGCATCAACATCGTCCAGCCAATCTGCGAGATTTTGCAGATGTTGACAGTAGGCCGCCATGGTGGTGTTGCCTTTGACAGTGGTACGGAACTCGTGCTCCAGTTGCATGGCACGAGCATTCTTGTTGTCGTGAAACAGATCATGAATAACTTTCCAAAGAGCAGAAGCGGTGGAGACAGAAGAGATAACCAGATCTGAGACTTCGTCGGAGATGGTGGATAAGATCCATCCCTGGAGGAAGCGTCGAGTTGGAGCCACTCATCATCGTCTTCAGAGAGAGGGACGATGGAGCCATTGATGTAGCCTTGGAGATTGAATCGGCGCACCAAGAGGAGGAAAAGGCGACTCCACTTTTTGTAGTTCGGTTGAGAGAGGCTGAGAAGAACCGGAACATGGAGTTTGACATTAGAGATCGTCGTGAAGGCAAGATGAGGGGTTTTTGCCAGACTGGAGTTGGAGGTAACCTCGCTTTCGGCCATTAGAGAGAAGAGAGCCGAAGGGAGAAGGGGGGGGGGAGTGCCGCCGCTGGGGAACTGCCGACGTCGAAGGAGGGACGGCGGGGCGGCGCTGTGACTGCCGCGAGGGAGAGAGAGAGCCGAGAAGTAGGGTTAGGGTTTTTTTTTTGTTTAATTAGGCTCTGATACCATGAAGAATTATGATTTTCATTAATTGAAAGAGTTGTGATTACATGTATATGTATATAAGGGGAGTCTCAATCCTAATCAAGGTAGGAGAGACACAAGTAAGGAAACCTATACAAATAAGGTAAGGGAATAATACAATATATTAAATATATACAATATATTTAACATTAACAACGTTAACTTTCCCAACTTATATTAACATGGTATTGGAGCCATAGGGTTCCGTTTTTTTCGATTGATCGCCAGAATCAACTTCCGCCGAGGAATCGCAAGGAGAGTTGTTGTGTTCTAGTATGTCGGCAAAGAAACAAGAAACTCCCAAGAAAGTGGTTGATGAGGAGGAGCTATTCGTACCGCTCTTCGTGCTCGTAAAAAGTTTGGTTTTGTGGATGGCTCAATTCCACAACCACTCGAAGATTCCCCTGATCTTGAAGATTAGTGGACAAATAACTCTTTGATAGTTTAATTTCGTGGATCCAAAACACCGTTGAATCGTGTCTTTGCACCACGATCTCTCACATTGAGATGGCTCGTGAGTTGTCCGAAGACATCAAGGGTCAATTATGGAAAAAAAATATCCTAAACACTTAACACTAATTATTGAAAACACTAATTGAAAACTTTGAAGAAACCAGCCTAAAAGGAAGTAAACTATAAAGAATTAAAATCAGAGCTCCATGTTCTTATCTTCAAAATATGAGTTTATAATGTTATAATATGATACTGTATATGAACATTTCACAATACCTTTTGATATTATATATTGATATGATTGCATTATATACATATTTTACCTCCTATTTTAAAAATAAAACATGAAACTGTTATTTTGATATATTTTCTAATATTTTACTTTTACTTTAATCTTTTTTCCCAAAACATTATACGAAATCATCTTAAATAGGAGTAAAACATAATGAAAAAATCAAAATAGGAGTTCCATAAGTTTATTCTCTAATTAGAAATTTTCACTATAGTAATGTGACATTGTACATAAATATTTTATCATAGTCTTTCATAATATACATGGTCATGATTAATAATCTAAATCCATTTTAACTTTTATTGCGAGAATAAAAAATGAAACTCATACTTTGATATATTTTCAATTTTTTACTCCAACTTAAGTATTTTTTCCGAATATTATCTCCACACAAGGTCTAAATGATTTTGGAGCAAAGAGATTTTCTTTCGTTTTTGGAAGGACAATTTCTATGTTGGACCTAAGATCTCTATGGACCTACATATGTGCAAAATAAGCATTTTTTACTACTTAAATAAACATTTTTTTAAAATGGAAAAAAAATTATGTGAGAAGGTCTACAAAAATGATATGCACCAAAAGTGTAACAAAGAAGCACTCTTTTGGAAGGGACAAAGAAAACCAAAACAGCCACTAACCAAAAAGAAAATCTTCCCATGTATATCGATATTGTTTTAGTTCGATACATGAAATTCAAGAACACGACTCTAATTGAACCTGACATACAAGAAATAGATATGCATGGATCTGTGGTGGGATCACAACGAAAGAATAAAGGTTGCAATCACTTGCAAAATCCCCGTATGTTGTTATTATTGAAAGCCCGGATTTTCTCCAAAGAAACCATATGAGGAAGTCATCATGAGGTTCTTCAGTTCAGACTGATATAGTAGAAGCATAGGCTTGCAAAAGGGTTAGTGCTTGACGGGCGATGGCTCTGTTACGAGTGCGCCTGACCCATTCATCAACAACTTTTGCAGCTTCGGTGCCCTTCACGCCCTTCTCCAGTTCATCTGCAGCTTCAATTAGTTTCTCCTCCGCCAAAAGGGTCTCCACTTTGTTCATGAGAGATTCAATACCATCGCCTGATCGGTCAACCTCATGAACCTGTACTCAAGCACACAAAATCAGAAGCAAAGATAAAGATTTGTGCAGGGAACTAAACTGGGTAATTAGTGGTATCTACTACAATGCAAGCACACACCTTTAACCAAGACGCAACCTGAGCCAAAAAATGTGTCAAAATCCCACCACCCCCTGGTGGAATCAGACTGAAGTGTCGAATCGATCCTTTCAAATCATCAAACTGCAAATAAAGCAGGTCATTAAATATACCCACCCATAGGTAACTCATTATAAATGTCATCCAAACATTTACTTATATATTTACTTCACACACACACACATGCATTCACCCCTCTTAACAGGAATCTCATTCTCACTGCCTATATGGAGGTCTGTCCTTTAGTTTCCAGGAAGCACAACTTGATACTGCAGTGCTGATCCCTCCGGATTTATGAGCTAATCTAAAGAAACTATCTAATTTAGCGGTAACCCAATTAAACCCCACATTCTTCCGATCGATTTGCAAATAGTGATGTTATGGTGCATAATGTACTCGGACTTTTAGGACAATAAAACAGAAGGTTAAGGCTGAAAAGAAGGTATGCAAGAAACAGGCTGAAACTACCAACGGCATAATCACAGTCAAACATGTCTTGCCTTGTGATTCAGTTGCCATAATGTATCTGCGCCATGCTTCAGTGTTTCTTCAGGAAGAGATGAGAAAGCCAACTTTAGAAGAGAATCTTTATCAATCCATTCAAGATAAGGGTGGAGAGCTTCTATTTCATTCTGAATTGGTAGCCCTTTGGACAGGGCATCTTCCAATGAAAGTACCCCCTGCAAGAACAATTGTAGTATAGTCTACTGACTAAACCTGATGAACAAAATAGACAAACATGTGCCTTGGAATTCTATTAATCTCAAACTAGCTGATTTTTTAGGAGTTCATAACCTAGCAATATTCAGCTACACTACGCGTCAATGCAAAAATAATAATAATAATAATAATAATAATTTAGCGTGTTTTTGGGAATCTTGCTTGTGATTTGTGAACTAGGTGAGACAAGTAAATGAGTAGAAGTTGCAACAGTAATTAAACCATATAGTGGCAGTCAGCCCATATACTGAGGCAACAGTAAAAGACCAAATTCAAACTAACGTGACTACATCTGCAGTGCAAGTGGAAGATGAATGTAAAGTACTCTGTGCTACAGAAGATGAGGTTTGCAATATTTGAAATATGTTCCAATCGTACAACTTTAACATTACTTTGATGGGCTGAGTTTTAAAAGATATGAAATGGTTAAAAAGAGCACCTTCTCCTTGGATAAGAACAAGTAGATTGTTGAATACATGAATCTTGTTTTAATAAAACAAAAACATTATAAGATAAGAAGGCTTTTTCTTTTTACCAAAGCAAGCTTGTGAACAGAATGAGTCTGCCTAGCTTCTTGGGAGCGTGCATAAAAAGCCATGCACAAGGCATCTATCTGCAAAGAATAAGCAGTCTGAGTAAATATCATTCCAGATGTAACAGAACTGAAGGAATAACAAACGCTGCAATTAAATTTTATTTTGGATTAAACAAGCAATAAAAAAAGTACCAGACCAAGTCAACAACAATAAACAATTCTGCTTTCACTTTTTTCGTATACCCTTTGAATTTTATCTTGTTTTCTGAACATTTTTGTCATGAACAACTTCAGATTACTGTAAGAAAATGAACTCACATGCTACTAAAGTAAGCTAAGGCATCTGGTCCAATATTAAAAGCATTGAATTCTTGGTTGAATCAAACATGTCTTTCATCCCTGGTTTAAATGGTTAATGGGTAAAGTTAGATTATGCATTTAGCCAACTTTAGTAGATCAATGTCAATCTTCCCAGACATTTCAAGTTATAATGCATTTGTTAGTATGTTACTACACTTTACAAATATTCTTATTTGCTAATATTCACAAGATAAATCAGCACTAGGATCAGTGTGGGACCTATTCCTCAAAAACAGAGGAAGTAGAAAATTGTTTGCATAACATATTGGAAATGAAATGCTATATAACATAGATGTGTATGTAAGTGCAATGTTTGTGTGTACCCACACATATAGTTGTGGTACCAAAAAAACACAGCAACCTGCAACATTTATGCCCAGTTTACTTAATTTAATGGTTTCCATACTTTTCCAGATTTCATTCTTCAGTTTCCATTTTCCAATTTGAAACTGAAAGACATGTTCATCAACCATTTATAGAATTTATAAAAAAACAAACCTATTTTATGTTGAATTTGTACACACATATATGAAAGACATTTTTTGAAAACATTGTTAGCTCAAATCAAGTAAAATAATGTCAAAATTGCGATCCAGATCGTACGATTGTACAATTCAGGAGATCGCCAGACAATTTTCGATCCAACTCGCGATCAAAATCGCAAAATTCATTTAAATCGACACCATCGCCGATCTAGATCATACAATCGCACAATCGATTGAGATTGCCGAAAATTGAAACACATCCACTGCGGGAATCTGAAAAACTTTTTGTGTCGCATCGATTTTTTGTCAAAATTGTAAAATCTGAAACGCAACTTTTCCAGACGATTGTTTGCTTATTATATATAGGCTCCTTCTCCCACACAAATACCCACAAACACTTACAGTTATCACACTCCTCTTCAAGCTTTCCTTCTCGCCTTCTACCTTCGTACTGGTCTGGGTCTCTACTCAAGAATTTTTGCCCAGGTTTTACTTTAAGATTTTTAACTATATATTAGGAGTGCGGGTTATACTGTAATAGGCTAATAATAGCCGAAACAGAGTATGCTATGGGTGATGGTTACCTGCTGCCTACTGGTAGTGATTTTCTTTTAAATTTGTTTCATTTTAGGCTTCAACAGTGATTTAACTGATTTCATACTTTTCATACAAAAATATTTTTACACTTTTAAGTTTATACCGTCCAACATTATTTGTTCTATATATTGTTATCTTTTATCTTTCCATAGATTAAATTTAATTAATATATATATATATATATGTATATATATATGTACGATCTTACTATTCGAGTTACGATCTTACGATGTTACAATCTTTATTAGGCCTAGCGATCCTACGTAGAATCTAGAGTTTGACTACCATCCTTGGTGCATATATTGGACACCCCGAAACCCCAACTGAGTTGATTGGGCTTGTTTTTTTGTATCCTAAAAAATAGAGAAATAATTTCTAGCATAATATCCCACCTGAGTAATCCATTACATTCATATACTTTTAGAAGTTTAATAGATGATTTTGTGATGGGTATAATCGTATAAGTGATGTTTAGTATTTAAACACCAGAATTTCAAAGGTGGATTACATATTTTAATTAATAGTGCTACATATAAATAGATATATAGTGGTAAGAGAAAAGAAATGGATATTCTAATAGAAGCAATAATAGTATTTCTGATTGAAGCCATGGTGGAACTGTTGAAGGGGGTTGGAAAAGTGGGTGTTTACGAAACTGTAAAATTAGGAGTGATTTGGTTCAAATTATGTAAACCAGATTCCATCAATTCTAATTCTGAGAACCAGATTCAGTTAGTACTGTCAATTTTCATCCCAAAATTAGGCAAGAGTTGCATTTGTTTTAGGTTCTGAAAAAAATCAGATATCTGTCTGCCACAAAAATCTGATTCTTAAGAGTCGGCTATATACTCCTCAAAAGAATGAGAAGATTCTATTCAACTAACCTTACAAAATTAAATTTTAAATGACCAACCAAATAAATAACCAATCTCATTCTACATTCTCAGAGCCAGAATCACCTCATTCAAAAACACCTATTTCTAAAATCTGCAATTCAAATAATTCAAACCAACTGTGCCCTTAATTTAGTGAGGACCTCTAATCTCAAGCTACTATATTTCCCCCATAACCTTGAAGGTCATCATACCATAAAATTGGAATCATATTTACTACGGGAATTGTTTATTTAACATAGGCATTATATAGGAGCTCCTGTGTAGTAACATAGTGCAAGTAGAAGACATACATGGAGATTTGCTTCTGCCATCTTTTCAATTTGGGATGCTTTCTCACTTGCAATCGCTGTTGCCACTTCTACTTTTGACAACTCTTGTATTTTCTTAAGATTCAGCTCAGCGTCAGATTCCTGCAGTTTCACATATTAGCAATTTCAATTTAGAAATCTTTACCTAACTAACAGGAAACTCACATGTCCCAAAAAACTACAAAATGATTGCATATTGAGCACAAAAAGGTACCTTTTCTTCAATCTCCTTTCTATGTTTTTCTTCCAAATTTTCTTCAAGTGATTTTAGGGCAGAAATTGCCCTAGCTCTTTCTTTCTTTAGCTCCTGTCATTACACTCACTGTTAACTTTCACTTTAGAACAGTAATGTGATTAAAGGAACACTATATAAATTAAAGGTGTAAAATGACTCTAAATCTCCCAGATTTAGTTCAAAATAAGGAAATCTGGGGATAGAAACTTGCAAATTGGCATGTGGATTGAAAAGACAAACGAAAAAAACTTGACTCATTGCTTCACATAGAACAAACAAAATTCATCTCAGCGGTATAGAAATAAAGTAGAAGTCAGCACACTAGTTAAATGAAATATATGAAAAAACAATGGGATGAAGACTAGGAGAGAACATGGATTGTTCAAGAACCTTAGCAAGTAATGCTTCCTTTTCAGCATACATAAGCTCTCTGACCCTTGCATCCTTTAGATCCTTTTCGTATTTCTCCTAGTTTCATTAGAAATTCAAAATATGCAGCAAAAGAAGTGAGGAACTCAAATGACGCATCTATGTTCTAAGCGTAGCTCATGTACATCATGATTAATGCCGAACCTTCATTATTCTCTTTTGTTCATTAAAGAAACGGGAATCAATCTCTGCCTGCCTTTTCTCGGCTTCATGAATAGCTTGTATCAAATCAAGAACCAATTTCCCATCCTTTGATATGTAAGCACCATTCAGATCTTCAAAAGCCTTCAGTTTCAAACTCAACAATAAATCAGTCCATTATGAACAAGGTGATTGACATGGCAGACTAAAAAATACACATACTTGTTAAAATTAATTTGCTACTTTGAGAAAATAGACCAATTTAACTTAATGGTAAAAAGATTAGGGTTTGGTATTCATGTTCGTAGATGAGGTGGGTTGAATTCTTTGCATTTTTTCAAATGAAATGTTAATAAGTGCAAATCATATACCTTGTCGGAGGGATTAGCTTCGGGAGCTTCGTCCTTATGTCTGAGATAATATTCATCAACAAGTGGACTAGGTTGCGTGGTTATGTCATGAGGAACCTCCTGTAATCTGAACTATTTAGTGAACCATAATATATCTGATTCATATATGCAATTGGTATTTGATTTTGAGAATATAAATCAGCTTGTACCTGAGGCTGGCTATGAATGCTCACAGCCTGTGTGGCTGTGGAGTTTGTTTCACTTTTGATTGGAACTTTCTCATCTTGTTCAAGTGTTGGAGTACTTTTAACTGCCTCATGATATTCATTGTCAGGAATCTCAACTTGGCTTTTGAAGACAAATCGATCTTCAGGTTGATCAGAACCACCTTTTGCACTGTTAGATGACATGATGCTAGGAGACCCCAAGTTGTCATTAGTTTGGATATTATTGGCATCTTCATCAGTTAATTCTTGGGAACTGCTAACCTGAGACTGGCTATTATCTTGGCTTACGCTTGCACTATCTACCTGAGAAAGGTCGGAATAACTCTTGGTGCTTTCGGCAGAATGACCCACATTAGGGATAGGAACATTTGAGCTTTCCTCTACACTACGCGTTGATGCATTTGACTCGTACACACTATGCTCGGCTATTGATTTTCCTAAATGTGCACTATCACGTTTAATGTCATTAAAATCTTTTGAATTCTCTGGATCTGCAACAGTGGCACCAGTATTTGTTGACTCGGGTATTCCATGTGGTTCTTTGATTAGATATTTATCCAAATACCCAGTTTGATAAGCTGCAACGAATGCAGCACTTAATGCAACACTCCCAATGGCAAATTTTGGCAAAAGACTTCCAGAATCAGGAGGCTTCCCAGATGATCCAGATCCTTGAGGTCTATTATGTTGGGGTTGAACCGAGAATTCTCTTCTTAGAGAAAGATATGAAGGTACCTGCTCATGTTGTACCAGCAACATGTAAACAAGAAATCCGCAAGCATAAGTTCATTTAAAATCTTAATCAGCATAAATATTTGGAAATTTTCAAAATACTGGTTCATGACAAGGAGAAGGTGAAGTATAAAAGAATCTATATACGCAAAAAAAGTGATCAAGAAGCAACTCATGAGTATATGCCCTAAAAAAATTCAGGTGATGTTAGATCATAATTGTATTACAGATTCAGTGCCCGACTGGTGTCAATTTATTGCATGTTGTAATCTTTCAGAGCTTCCTTGGATCTAAACAAAATAATTGAAATCATTCTTTTTTAACCCTAATAACTCTATTATAATGTAGCATCTATTCATACATTCTCAACTCATTAAGCACGTAGAGTTATTACCCCATTGGGGATCGAACCTGTGACTTCCCATATGTGAGAGTCATTACCATGCCACTGGACCACAAGGTCTTTGGCAATCATTCTGATAGGGCAGAACAGTCTCTCGTAGGAAACACTACGATCACTCTTAATTCTAATTTGGAATTGTGATTCACCTATACAAATGTGGAATGCCCTACTTTCATTTCCTTTCCACACAAGACAAACACAAGCATTTCATAGCGAGACATTCAAGATTAGAACAGCATATAACACAAAGGAAATTGATCAATACACAAAAAATCAAATGAAATCGAGAAACATGCCTGCGTCACAACCTGAGAGGGAAGCCTCACAAGTGGTCGACGGATGGAAACCTGCAAAATGTGCCTGCAAATAGTTCGAAATGGCATTCAAAAACCCTATATCGCCCGCAATCAAAAAGCATAACCAAAATTTGGGGAATAGCATCAGATCAAAGATGACATATAAATTCAGCTTAACCCAGATCAATAACTTCAACGTTACACAGCTAATTTACGAGCAATTAAAGAAAAACGTGCCGATACAAGAGTGCGACCGGTGTGGTGTACCTCCGCAACATAGTGGAGACTGTGGGAACGTTCTAGGCTGCGACCCGGGGTGTTGTACCTCCGCTACATAGTGGAAGAGAAAATCAAGCCTTTAAACAATCACACCAATGCAAAGAGTTGTTTTTTTTGGTACTCAGTATATTAGACCATCCCATATACACAACAACTAACGTGGTGTATTCAATCAGGACTCTAATGTATTTTTTTGGATTTTGAAAATTTGTAGGTATTCAATTCAGATTTTAAAGTATTATTTAAAATATTGGTGTATTCAATTCAGATTTTAAAAAATTCTTCTAAATATGATGGTATTAAAAAATTGATAGATTTTGAAAGATTTTTAATAATGTAGATTGTGATGGATTTTTATGCCTTGCATATAAATATAAATTCCGTTCCAAATCCGATCAAAAGACCTTGGATTTTGAGGATTCCATTTTCTTCGATCGGTCTTCCACGCCTCCCCATCTTCTTCTTCGATGAGGCACAACATCAACCACGGCTGGTTCCACAGCTTCAATTAGCCAATTTGAATCTCGTGGTCTTCTTCCTCCTCCTCTTCCTCCACTCCAATCGGGGCATGACGGGGGAGAAGCTTGGCAGGGGCGGGGGACGGGAGTGGGGGGCTCCTCTCCATCATGTGCGGCGGGATGGGGAGAGGTGGCTTGGGAGCCGGTTCGGCGACGGCAGCATCAGAGTGGGAGGCGGCACAGCTGCTAGTGCAGAGCAATCCAGAGGTGAATGTTGTGATTGTTGTCTGTGATGCTTCGTATACTTGTCATTTCAATTCAAGGCCTTCGTGTACATCAGGAGTGGCTCCTCTCCTTTTTTTATATTTTTTTATTTATAAATCAATTTGGACTGAGAAATAATCCATTATTAGAATCTTGATAAATTTTTACAATAAATAGATGGAAATAATCCTTAGATCTCACAATCTAAAACATCAGATTCATTCTTATTTCTGTCATAAAATCGCATTATCACCAGAACCTATATATATATATATATATATATATATATATATATATATATATATATATATATATATATATATATTAGGGGTGGACACGGTACGGTTCCGGGACGGTTCCGGTACCGCCACCCCATGTAACCGGAACCGTCACCGTGCCGGCCGGTTCCCGGACCGGCGGTTCCGGTACCGGAC